ATAGTCAGTCAATTTCATTGATAAAAAAAAGTCTCAATAGAGTCATTGATTTTGAAAGAGAAAAGTCGAGTAGAGTCATTGCTTTTTAAAGTGAAAAGTCTAATAGAGTCATTGTTTAAAAAACAAAGAGACTTGTAGAGTCATAGTTCGTAAGCTTAAAAATATTATTTAAGTTAATCTAATGTTTAGATCAGGATTTTCAGCTTCTAATATACTAATTCCCGTTTCTCCCCCTGTGCTTTCTGCGTTCTCATTTATACGTGAGCCCAGGTGTTACTCGTATGGGTGAGAAACAGTTCGTATGGGTTTAGTTTTAAGTTCTCCCTTATTGGCGACAGTCATTGAGTTAGTGATTGCGCACGATGTATTTTGCATCTGTATGTGCGTGTTAGGTGGTGCATTGTACATCGTTTCGCGATAACTTCTAAATAAATACAAACACTAATATAATAATATATATTATCATTTATATCGTTTTGCATAGTAGAGTTATCACATATTATGTGTGAAAATACTCGTATATTACTAGTATGCGTATATACTAGTATGTACTAGTGTTATTTGCCTTAGTCACTTACGCAATAATCATTAGCCTTGACTGTCGATTACAGCAATTGGTACGTACCCACCTTAGTATGTAAGCTAGAAAAACGTGGTTGAGCTAGGGTGTCGGAGGTGTCCCGGGACATACTCTCTAGTGTAGGCTTTTGCACCCTGGCGGTATGTGAGAGAATCGTGGAGTGTGTGTGTTGGAATGAATGTTTTGCTATTTTTTAAATATAGGTTATAGGCAGGCAGGTAATATAATCTTTTCTGTGTGAATGTATCTTTAATTTTAAGCAGGTAGGACCGGATAAGATGCAAGTTGTAATTTCATCTTTGGAGTTGAGTGTTCCATCTCCGGATATTATACAAAGTTTCAGCAAATTTTAAAATTATTCAGCATATCTGTTTTCTTTTTTCTTCGTATTTTGCTGATGCTCTGTATTGCGAGATATATCAGTATCAAACAGTTTTAAAGTCTTTCCATTTCTTTTGAAATAGCAAAGATTTTTTAACGCGTTGGATACTTAGTCTTAAGTATATTAACACTTCGCAATCTCTTTCGTGGTTTTAACAATTTTTTTACACATATATGGTAAAGTAAAAGTAGTAAAGATACGAAGTAAGATATATCTTATAAAAGAATATAAGACCAATATGACGTATCATAAATTTTCTAGTTTTGTTCGATACTTTTTAATTGTTCCAAGGTGAAGTGTTAATAATAGGTTCGTCGATTAGAATAAACATCTGCTTGGGCATTCGAGTAAATGTGTCTGTGTAAATGCGTACGATTATTGGATTTTTTCGATCCATTGATCGTCCACAGACTAGGATAGTTCATCAAGTGTATAATAAGTTTTTATTTTTAATTTTTTTTTTATGCGTTGCATTTAGGGAATGCCATAAAGCAGTGGTTAGGGCACGAAGCAAAGAAGAGGCTATATGCCGAAGAGGCCCCCACAATATGTGGCTCAAGAGGGCAACTATCGACGACGAGTCATTTTTTCAGAGGATCATAATATGTTTCTCTGAAATAATAGCTCGTAGTCTTATCATATCTTTCTTTCTTTTTTTACCACGTTGTCATTTTGCTCGTCATTAATATTTATTATAATTGGAGATGATAAGTCATTTCATCTCTTTGGCACGTAAAGTTCGTGTCTGAATCATTCAAAAGATGCACAAGTTCTTATTTAGTTAGAGTCAAGAATATTTAGATTCACGTATTATTAGTTTAAATTTGATTGATAACTCGCGTTTAAATTTGGTGTTATTGTAATATGAAATAGGGATTTGTACAAGATATATAGGGAATTAAATTGAAAAATGCATCTACGTATTGGTACGTCAAGTGGACGTGCTATATTTCATGCTTTTATACATTGACTCTATAACTAATATATTTTCTTTTTGTTACAGGTGACCATCGTTGGATTTGTTAGCATCAGTTTTTATCGATTTTCGCATATTAGAGCCTCTAAAATGGCTGCTGTTAAATATATATATGCATTTCTGAAGGCAAACAAAGAATTAAATATAATCATTTACAGTTTTGTAATAAATATATATATATATATACAATTTCAATATTAACTGTAACATGTGTGTTTTCAAGTATTTATGGGATGTACCAAAGATTTTAAAGATGTTTATTAGTAAAATATTTAATTAATAAAAATTTGTGTTTTAGGTCTGCAACTTAAATTGTTCCATGGATCTGTGTATGGTTTGCTTTTTTATTAATAATATTTATAGGCACAGAATAAAATTACATACGTTTGTATTTTTATTCTGTTTGTTTCTAAGATTTGTTTTGTGTACATACTATTTTTAATTTTTCAGGTAATTGATGATGAATAAATTGGCATTGAAAGAGTTTGATAAAGTTTAAACCTAGGTGTACTGACAAAATTATATGTTACTAATTCAGAACAATTTCATACATTATCTTACAAATTGTTTAAGTTTACGTCATTAAAATTCTTTTGTATAATAATTTATAAGTATGAATGTGATGTATGATGTATGTTGGGATTCATATGCTTTATTTTTTACGCTTTAAAATGCTTATTTTAATAGTACTATTAAGGCTTGCGTCTGGGTTGCATCTGGCTTCTAAGGTACCTAATTTTTAAGATAGTTTAAAAAACGTGGGTATATTGAGTTGATGCATGCATAAATGCCGTTAGTAAAACGACATTTATCTATGAATTAACACAATATATTTTTCATAATTTTCCCAATTATTTTATTTAATTTTTAATTTATCAAAATGTTAGATTTAACAATGATGTAGTATTTATTAATAATAAATGTAACATTGTAGTTATTATAAAGTACATGTACTTTGTATATTCCCGGGATATACAAATTATATGTCCAAATGATGTTGATTAATTATGTCAAGATAAGATGTGTTGAACTTTTTAAATATATTTTTGAGATAATCTATAAATAACCCACGCTTTTTCTCTCGGGTAGGTTAGGGCAAAGTCATGGTTGATGAACCCTCGATTGACTACGATCGGGTCGAGAGGAGGTTCATTAAACGTGACTAATTAGTATGTTATTTTAGCCCGTGGATCTCCAGATGCAGTAACCTCCACGTGGTGAGATCTGGGTCGGTATTAGTTGCGATTTATCGAAATCTATATTTGTTAATATTGTAACGCAAGTACTACCGAGCGAATGGCTGCATATGTATATATATATTCTTTTTAATTCTAGACATTTGAACATAATTATTATAAATTGAACATTGCTTATCGTATATAAATTTTTTTGTAATATCTACCAAACACGTCGGTTTTAATTTTTTATGAAAGAGAAAAAACATTTCCATTAAATTGAACATAGAATTATTCTTTTCTAATTATCGGTTAGATAAATAGATCACGCAATATTATCAATTTAGAATCAACCATGTTTTACACACACACGCACACACACACAGGCTCACCAGTTTAAACTTTAATACGGGAGAACGTAAAACCTTTCAATTATGTGACACGTAGAGCGGTTCTTTTCTACTTTTTGATTTGGTAAATATAATAGATATCGCGAAGTATTATCGATTTTTCGCGTCTAGCATTAAAAAGACATTAAAATTCGATTGTTTTTTGATTTGCTTTGTAAATAATTTAAAATTCCAACTCTCTCATAAACGAATGCTTATAAAGCTTGTTCAAATAATAGATTCTTTCGATTATTTAACATTATTTTAAGATAATCGAAGTACACTATAATGTGCTCTAAACATTAATTATTTATATATAATTATTGAATAATTGAATTAATTATATATTTATATGTAATTAATGAAACACCAATTATCGTATTAATACAAAATTGTTCGAACAAATAAACTTTTATTTAATAAGAAAAGAAAAGAAACGAAAAGAAAAGTATAATAATATATTTGTACTCTGTTGTAAATTCTAACGTAACATTTAACGCAATATTAATTATAAAATGTTATTATCGATGACTGAGCGATTAAAAAAATTGACGTCTTGTACTATCTCAAAATATCTTCAGATTTATTATACAAAATAAAAGTCGATAATGCAGATTTCATTCGCGCGTAGAAAAATCTTTATTTTATTGACGTTAATCTTTGGAAGATCGTTTCTTTGGTTTCTTAATTTTTTTTTTTATTTTAATAATTAGTGAAAATAAATAACAAAAATATATGTATATATATATATATATAAAGTTGCAGAATTAATAAAACGATCATGTAAGAAGATTTTTATACATCTTCTTAAGTCATTTTTATATCTTATTATCGTATAATAAGATCGAAGAGAATTTGAGGTTATACATTGTCCATCTTACGTTTCGTTTCCATCTTTTTTTGTTTTTTTGTATTTTTTTTTTTTAATAGAATGCAATAATAAAACGATGACATGTTAAATTACGGGACAATTGAAATGAATAAGTTATTGATTGTCGACTTTAAATCAAGAAATTTGCTGAGTTATTCCATTTTATTATTTCATTTTTCATTTCGTATTACGAGTATGTATATTTTGATCAATCAATTTATTTACAATTCTATTGTTCGTTCCTTCTGGTCGTTCATCTTCTTTCTTTTTTTTTTCTTCTTTTTTTTTTTATTTATCTTTTCATTAATAACAAATGGTATTTGAATTAATACAAAACTTTGTTACGAAATCTATAATAATAATAATAAATATTTTGACGTATATTTAAAACAAAAAAAAATGAAAACAAAGAACGAATCAACATTCAAATATTCCCGCCATTTATATATATATATATATATATGTATATATATATCACATTTGAATATTACATGGTAAATAACTTACGTAAACGTGTAAAAAGGAGTTGGTGTATTAACATATAGATAATAGAAAATTATGGCATTTAAATATTTTTTAAGGTATTGTACGTGATGATAAAAGTTAGAAAACAGGTGTAACGTCCTCTAGTAGTCGCGTTAAAAACTCGTCGATAGTTGCATAGATATACGATTTTCGAACAATAGTTCTTTTTTTTTTTGTGATCTTTCGGTAACAATTGTGGTCGTCGTCGTCAACGATGTCGTTGAAAAGTTATTAAGAAAAAAGATAATATTGCGATTAATCGAAACAATGTACATACATACATGTGTAATAACGTCGGGAGAATACGTGCACGATCAAAAGAGAAAAAAAAATATATATATATATATATATTTATATATTTATATTTAATACGTAACGTTATTAAGAATAATAATAAATACAATAGTAACGTATGACGACGGAGTATTTGAAATTGTACGAGAGATCCGATTGGTTGAGATTCTTTTTTTACTTCGAACGTTTGTATAGGTGAATGCAAATGTGGGAAGACGATTATTTTTGATAAAGAAAACATTAAATGTCAACTTTCTCGAAGTGTGCAACAACTGGTTTTTGAAATGATGCCGTCGAGGATAATATTATTCGACGTCGGTGTGAGAAATAATCTTCATAAGATGAACGTTAAAATTTTATACGGACCACGGTGGAGACCGCTTTATAGGTTACAGGAGGAAAGATCAAGGAGGATTGAGGTGTATCGAATTTAGTTAGTTTTCGTTCGTTTCATCGAATCATGGGCAATGGAATATCTTGCTGTTTACAAAAAAAGAAG